GCATATCTTTGTCTGGCGCTCACCCTCGGTCAGCAAAACCGACCGAGAACCTGCTGGCCCCTGGAAGAAGCCAGCCGCCCCCTTTCCTGGGGCTTCTGCAGGCGAGGGGGCTGCCTTGCCCACGCGATCAGAAGGAGCCGGCCTTTCGGATGCTGCAGGACTCTCGGTCGGTTTGGCCACTGTGGGCCAGAGGCTGGCTCACGGAGGCCCTTCTGGGAATTTGGGCTTGGTTGGTATCCTTTCTGATGGCTGACCGCGGGAGGGGGGGGGGGGGGGGGGGAAGGGGAGCCAGTGAAACGCGGTTGAATGTTCCACCGAGAAAAAACCCGAAAGCCTCTTGGTTCGTAGTGCATGGAGGGGGGAGCTTTGGATAAAAGCCTCGCTCTCCTCTGCTTGAGAGGATCTCTGCACATCCTTTCATGCCTCGGAAGCCCCCCCCCACCCCTGGCCTGGGTCTTCTCTGCTCTGGCCCAGAGCCGAGGGTGGGCGCCGTGGGTCTGTGGGCAGGACGAGACCAGGCACCCATCCCGCCCTTGCTTGACTTCCCCACTCCAGATGACCTCAAAGCGCTGCGGGTCTCCATCGCTAGACATCCCCCCTTCCGGGCGGTGCTGGCGGGCACCCTCACCCTCCCCTGCCACGTCACCTACCTGCGCCCACTGCCCACCTCCAGCAGCGCCGGCCGCCGCGCCGTCCAGGGGGCGCCCCGGGTGAAGTGGACCTTCCTCTCCCAGGGCCGGGAAGCCGAGATCCTGGTGGCCCGGGGCCTGAAGGTGAAGGTGAGCGAAGGCTACCGGGACCGAGTCTCCCTCCCTTTTTACCCGGAATCCCCGACGGACGCCACCTTGGTCCTCACCGAACTTCGCTCCAACGACTCCGGGGTCTATCGCTGTGACGTCCAGCATGGGATTGAGGATGGGCATGACTTGGTGGAGGTGAAGGTGAAAGGTAAGCACACACACACACACACCCGGCATCCCTGCGCGGTCTCTGGGAGGGAGGGATCCTGGAAGCCTCTGGGCACATCCCCCCCCCCAGAGATCTCCTGGAAGCATTGACGGGACGTTTTCGATCTGCTCTAGCTGGGAAGCACAAAAAGCATGGAACGCTGGGGCTTTTTCTTAGCAGGAAAGGTGGGGCCCTCTGGGCTTAATTGGCCCAGATAAAAACCAACCTCTTCAGCAGGGAAGGGTGAGAAAGGGGCCAGAAGCTCAGCTGGGTTGTGAAGGAGTCTGCCAGGGAGCAAGGGGGCCTTCATCCTCCGCCCAAAGCCTGAGGTTGACGGAGGAGGAGGAGGAGGAGGCAAGGGCTGCAGAAGGCAGCAGCTGGGACGGCCCCGCTGGTGGGGTGCAAAGCAGCCCCAGATCAGGTCTCCCCACCTTGGAGGAAACATAGAACGAGATGGGTTTGAACTGGGCATGGGGACTGTCCAGTCCGTTTGTTGGCACTTGAACAGAGCTGATCCAGGCAGGCAAAAACTCTGCTCTGGGTGCTCACAGGCTCTCACCTGGATCCTTCCTGGATCCAACCAGGTGTGCTGCAGAAGGCGTGTCATTTTTTAAAAAAATCAGCTCTTTCTGGAAGCAATCTTTACAAATCTTCATGAATCAGGTTTTGGGGAGGGGCTTTGTCTCTAGAGAGCCTTTTTTTAAAAAAAAACTAACATAATTAAAAAGGTGTTTTTTAAAATGGAAACTTCTAATGCCAAAACCAACTTTGCAATGAAAGGGCTGCAGCGCTAAGCTCCTTTCAGGCTTTCAGGTGGAAATTCAAAAAGCCAGCTGGAAATAGATAAACCGGGCTTTGGATTGCAAACACGAAGGGCAGAATACCCAGGAAAAAGGCACCGGATCTGTGGGATCCATGCCCTGCATCCAGTGGGTGGCATGTTTGATGCTGAACCCACAGCAAGGATCCTAGGAGGTTCAGCACAGCGTTTGTGCAATGAGGACTCGGCTCTTGGTTCCCCTTTAATGCTGCAGGTTCAAGACCTGGGCTTGGCCATTTGCTCTAGGCTAAAACCAGGGTGAAAGCAGTAAAGAAACATGAGCACATCTGGCCTTAAAGGTCAAGGGGAACTTTTACCTTCACCTTTTATGGTAGGAGTTGAGGCTTCTCTGCCTTGATAACCCGTATCTGACTGCGGCTGCCTCCTGCCTTCCAGGGCCAGTAAAGAAACATGAGCGCATCTGGCCTTAAAGGTCAAGGGGAACCTTTTATGGTAGGAGTTGAGGCTTCTCTGCCTTGATAACCCGTATCTGATCGCAGCTGCCTCCTGCCTTCCAGGGGTCGTGTTCCTTTACCGAGAAGGCTCTGCTCGCTACGCCTACACCTTCGCTGAGGCTCAGGAGGCGTGCGCCAAGATCGACGCCGAGATTGCAACCCCAGAGCAGCTCTACGCAGCCTACCTCAGTGGCTTCGAGCAATGCGACGCGGGGTGGATTGCTGACCAAACTGTCAGGTGCGTGGGAGGGGGAGGCGGTGGAGGTGGCACAGGGTCAAATTACGTTGCTACATTAGATACTATAGGTATTTCCTGTTGCTACAACATTTTCCCTCTAGACACACTGTGCCTTCAAACCTCCATAGGGGAAGCGGAGGTGGCACAGGGTCAAATTACGTGCTACTGTATATTAGATACTATAGGTATTTCCTGTTGCTACAACATTTTCCCTCTAGACACACTGTGCCTTCAAACCTCCATGCCTAAGAAATCCAACTTGCCAATGAAGCTCTATGTTTATCTTCCGATGACCAATCGCAGGAGAAAAACTGCAGTTCTCTTTTATCCCTTTGGAGAACTCTGTCCCTGATGCCTTCCTAACTCTATCATATGGTTTGGGTGGGCCTCAGTCGGCCAAGGATGTGGGGGTAGGCAATTTCATGCTGCTTTTATTTTTCCAAGAACGCTGTTTCAAAAATGGGCCATTTAATCAAATTAATCAGGAATGTCATGAGTGGATGACATGTGAATGAAACTGGACAGTTTCTAAGTTAAGAATTAACTTTTTTTCCAGGTGACGACCTCTAGAATGGAAACACATTTATATTTATTAGAAAGAAATAAAGCTAGACCTTCCTTTGTCCAGCTGTTTAGAGTGTGTTAGACTTAATGCACGAGAACTATGCTGTTGAACTGTCGTTGCATCTTAAAATATTCCAGGAGAAATGAATCTGAGGTAAAACTTCTGTCCTGCTCAGAATCACAACTCCCAGGTTTTCAGGGACCAGCAATGAAAGGTCAATCCGGATAATACCATTTTCTGATTATTAGAAGCAGGGGTGTGAGGATTTGTGGTTTCGCTGCCTGCGGAATTACTTTTATGACTGCTCACTGGGAGGCAAACACAGTCTTTATTTCCAAGTCTAATGGATTAGGCATGGAGCTTTGAAGGAACTATGTGTCTGGAGGGAAAGCAAGCCCTCACCTTGAACCAGAAAGCTGGTGTTGTGTATATTTTCCCTTCAGGCTGCTGCAGCAAAAACAGTGAAGAATTTTGTGGACTGCCTAAAGACTAGCATAGAGTTGTGATTTTTTCAGCACTTGGTGCATCAGACAGGATGCTGTCCAATCTCATGTTATTGACATTCTTTGAGTCTATGACTTTGTCTTGGAGAGAGTGAGTGAGCGAGCAAGAGAGAGGCAGAGAGAGTCTGGTGCTTTGCTCCCCAGAGAGAAACTGAGCCTGCCCCCCCTAAATCTCATGTCACTGAGTCTATGACTCTGTCTTGATGAAGAGAAAGAGAGTGTGTGTGTGTGTGTGAGAGAGAGAGTCTGGTGCTTTGCGCCCCAGAGAGAAACTGAGCCTGCCCCCCCCTCCTCAGGTACCCCATACAGACCCCTCGGGAAGCCTGTTATGGAGACATGGATGGGTTCCCAGGTGTGCGTAACTATGGTGTGGTGGATCCAGAAGATAAATATGATGTCTATTGCTACGCTGAAGAATTGTACGGTAAGCTAGACTGCTTTTTTTAAAAAGAAAGCACCAATCTCTTGAAGGTAAACAGGGTGTCAGCTTCTGAATGCACGCTGGGCGCCATGTCTGGCTTGGCTGCTCCGAAAGAAAAGAAAGCACCAATCTCTCGAAGGCAAACATGGTGTCAGCTTCTGAATGCCAAGCTGGGCGCCATGTCTGGCTTGGCTGCTCCTTCGCATGGACCACCCTTGGTCCGTGTCTTCAGGCTTTTGATGACTTCACTGCAGAACAGCATCTATTCTGTACCTGCACTGTTGCTTTTGTCTGGGAACGTATTGATGTTGAGTTGTCAAAAAGAGAGACCGCTTCCCCTCCCTTCCTCCCATCTCAATGTTGTCTGTTTTGACAAGCAATATATTTATTATTCTACTTCTTAGACTTCTTAGTGACCACCGGAGCCTGCTGTAAACGGGCAGGAATGTTTGACTCAAAACGCAGAGCAGAAAGTTCAGCATGGAACAATCAGGGAGCTGAGCTTTGTAGCTGAGCATTCCTATTACCTCCTTTCTCTTTGCCAACCAGACGGGATTCCTGGATCCTCAAAGCAAATACAAAGTCTGCGGCTTTTGAGCTTCCAGCTCAACTTGCTGTAGAAAATTAGGAACCGGATAAAAGAGTTGTCCAAGTGGAAGGCAGGACGAGGTACTCTCTCCAAAGGGCAACATATATATGTAGCTTAGGGTTTTAACCACTGCTCTTTAATGCCACTCTGGGTTGTTCAGTTTCAATTGCAGTTGAAAGATGAAATATTTTACATAAATGACCAGTATTGAGTTTGCCGATGACTCCTTGCTGAGATTTCGCCTCCCTCTGCATTATTAGACAAACATCTCTGCCCGTTTAATATCTGCTCCTATGATCGCTAACCAAAATAAAAAGGAGCAAAAGGAAACCCTTAATAAAACACTTCTTTAACAACCCAGTTTTGGTGAGGTCTCTTGTTTTGAAACCTTAAAGCCTCCACATGTCTCCTGAAGGTGAGCTCTTTGTGGTGACCTCCCCGGAGAAATACACCTGGGCGGAGGCGAAAGCGGAGTGCCAGGCCCTGGGTGCCGACCTGGCCACCACCGGCCAGCTTTACGCCGCCTGGACCCACGGACTGGACCACTGCAACCCCGGCTGGCTGGCCGACGGCAGCGCCCGCTACCCCATCGTCACCCCGAGGGAGAAGTGCGGTGGAAACGTGCCGGGCGTCAAGACCGTCTTCCTCTTTCGCAACCAGACCGGCTTCCCCGACCCTCAGAGCAAATTCGACGTCTACTGCTTCCAAGGTAGAGAGGGTGAGGCCTCAGGTCAACCCACCGCCTTCGGGTTTGTCTGGCCCTTGGGGGGTCTTTAAGACGGAGGACAGGTGGAGGTTCTGCAGGCGATGCTTTCCCTATGATTTGTGTCATCCCCCCCCCCCCTAGAGTGTCTGCATTGTCTTATGAAGAAGATTTTAATCTGCTTAATATCTTTTGGGAGGGGGGGCAGGCTCACTTCCTGGGAGATGCTTGTAATAAAAAAAAAAAAACTCGTCCTAGCTGCGGAGTTAAAAGAAAAGGCAGCCGAGCCCTTAAACAAGCCATTGTCCCCTTGCACGACGTCCCCTTGCCAGGCGCCCTTTGGGTTTGCCGTCCTTCGGCTTCTACCGGACTTGGGTCCTCTAAATGCACACAGTCAGCGAGTGTCCCAGAACTCAGTTTAATGGAGTGCTTTGCTGGGGCTCACCTGCCCTTCTGCAGGCAGCAACACAGGACATCACCCTCTCGAGCGTAGGCGCCCTCGTGGACGGCGTCTCAGTTTTGTTGTCTTGCAAGGTAGGCAAAAATAAGCCACCTGCGCAGAAGAGGCAGATGAGGAGAAGGAAGGGAAAGTGAAGGCAGGACGAGGCTCCTGCCTGGCACTGCAGGAAACTCTCCCGGTCGGGGGGGGGGGACGAAGGCAGGACGAGGCTCCCGCCTGGCACTGCAGGAAACTCTCCCGGGGGGCGGGGGGGGAACGGAAGGTGGAGAGGAAAGCTCTTCCTTCCACTCTGGAAATGAGGCCTCTGGGCCTGCGCAGAGACTCCGAGGAAGAGAAGCATCCTTAAGTGAAACATGGAGAGGCGGGGGGGGGGAAATAATCCACGGGGCCCCCTTCTGAAAAACAACAGCTGTGAATCAGAGGTTTTGAATGAATCTGTTTTTGAAAGGCCTAAAGTCCCAATAAAATGTATTTTTAAAAAGGGACACTGATTGAAAATCTCCCAGAGAGATCACCTGAATGGCCTTGTTCAGAAAAAAAAAGGGTCAAGAGGAAGGGAGTTCCCCAGGCCCCGTTGCCCCCAACCGACCGACCAATCTCACCCTCCCTTCCAGCTCATTCTTGCCACTGGAAAAGAGGCTCCACACTGCACCCTTGCAGTGTAGGCCTCTTGGCCAGGATTAAGAGGGCCAGTGCCTTTTCAGCATAGAAGGGCGCAGGCCCCCACTACTCTGTACCCGTCCAGCCTGGCAGGGCTCCACGTGTGTGTGGGGGGGAGCAGCCAGCTCCTCCACTGTCACGGCTGTTCCCCCAAGGTCCCTCTAAAGGGTCTTGCTGGGGAGGCCAGGTGTCAGGCAGTAATGTCCCCCCCCCTTTCTTTCTGCCCACAGAAGAGAGCAGCCCCTTCTCTGTGCCTCCCGGTCCCGGGACAGAGAGCAGCAGCGCCAGCCGCAGGAGCAGCCAGGAGATTGTGACTGTGACCGAGCAGATGGAGGAGCTGCGGCTGCCCCAGGCGGAGCGCCAGGCGCCGAAGGAGTCCCGGGGGGCCATTTATGCCGTGCCGGTTCTCCAGGAGCCCCCCGAGGTGCAGCAGCAGCTGCCCAGCCATGCCCCGGAAGAGGCAGCCCCCCCGCAAGGAGGGCCTGAGCCAGGGCCCCCCCGTGGCTGCGCTGCTGGGGAGGAGGAGGAAGGGGGGGAAGGAGGACGAGGGGCCGGGTGCCCAGAGAGACCCAGGCCGGGTAGGTGGCCAGGGGTGGGGGGTCTGTGGGGGGGTCTGTGGGAGGTGAGTGTGAGGCAGGAGGCCCCTTTCTGCACCCTGGTGGCCACTGTTTGGGGCTGCCATGCTCCCCAAAGTCATGGAAGGGTGTGCCTGACCCACCCACCCACTCACCCACCTACCTGCTCCACCGCAGCCAGGTCGGTCTGGTTGAGGGTGGGCAGCCGAGAGCCGGAGCCTGCCGCGTGCTCTCTCTCTCTCTCTCTCTCTGCTAGAGTCAGCCCTCCTGCAAGGCAGAGCAAAGGTGTTGTGTGTGTGGATGGGTGCCCGCTCATGGCAGCTTGTGTCTCTCCCCACTCCTGAATCCTCAGGCCCCTTCCAAGAACAGCCCAGGGGTTCAGGAGCGAAGGCCTGCCACTGGTGCCCGTGCAGGTTCGCAGCCCTCCTCAGGCTTCGGCCGGAGAGGAGAGGTCCCGCTTGACCCCTCGGGAGAGGGGAGCGCTTCCTGCAGGGCCGGGCTGGCGAAGGGGGGCTCCAGAGAAGCCAGCGTGCCCTCACACCCAGGCCCCTGTAGCCAAGGAGCGGAGCTTCTTCGGGCACGTATGTGCCTGGACCCCATAGGCAGGCAGGCCCCCATAGGTCCCGGTTCCCTGCAGAGCGGTGAGCTGCTTTTCAGAAGGAGGAATGCTGGGTCCAGAGGAAGCCACTCATCCTCATGCAGCTGTTTCAGGATGATGCTGGGGGACCTGCATTGCTCCGTCCTGGAAAGCTTTGTGCAGGTCTGAGGCAGCTTCACGGGGCACAGGTCGAAGGGTGGCGCCCCCGAGCAGCAGGAGGTGCCACCCGAGGCTGCCCAGAGCCCCCTTTTTCACCAGAGAGCCCCTCCGTGACATCCGATATGGGACCTTCTCGCTCAGATTCTGATGTGGAGGGACCGTCCATGTCCAGCACCTGCCTCTCCGTGGCTGACCCGCGGAGCTTCCGGGGTGCGGCTGGATTTTTTTTCAGTGCAGGATCTAAAAGAAAACACAGAATAAAACTTCTTTGACTCTTGTCTTTGAAAAAACAAAAAAGGCAGCCGTTGTGGCTGAAATGGGATCCCTTTGTCAGGTCCCCCACCAGGCAAACTCACGGGGCATGCAAGATGCCCCAAGATTTAAAAGCTAGGCTGGGTGGGGCAGAGTGTCCCTTGGTCTCCCTCTTTTTTCTGTTTACTTGTTTTGATGGGAAAACGGGATTAGGCAAAAAAAGGAGAAATGACCCAGAAATATGGGCCATTCTTATTTTACTTACTTACTGTACCTAACCCTATTGTTGTGCTGTTTCAGCAAAGGTTCAACACTTCATTTGTAACTTGTTATTGTCCTGGGGGAAATCGTACTGTTCAGCGTGTTTGTGGCATTGAAAAATATAGAGACTCCATAAAGACAGACAAGCAAAGAGGCCATTCCCCCCCCCCAATACTCTCCTCTTGAGGAGACTGCATCTCCAGGAGATACATAAATTCATCCTGGGTTTGAGCATCACTGGGTGGTTCTGTCATGGACTCTCTGAGTGGGGCCCCAGAGTGGGATCCTTTATTCTCCTCCGAGTTTGTAGACTTGACGGAGGTATAAGCCCTTCCTCTTTGGCTGTCTGTAGCATTTTGAGTGGGTGAAACTTTACCTTAAAGACGGTTTCACTCATTCCAAAATGGAAGAAGAAGAAGAAGGGGAGGAGGGATCAGGGCGTTTTTCCAGGCTCCCCAGCATTTCTGGATTTTCCCACTTGAAAACATGATGTTTTGGAAATGGAAAATATGAAAATGTGAAAGTCCAAAACAGAAAAATTAGGACAAATTGGGAGAATGGGTTAATTGTAATCAAGGAAAATGAAGGGAATTCTCTTGGGTTGGGGAAGGAAGGGGAAACCCTGGAACACCCCCCCTCTATNTCTGGGGAAGCCCTCATGGCCTCGTTTCCTTCCTTGGTGTTTTTCAGGGGAAGAGCCGGGGCTTGTTGAGGAGGAGACCCTGAGCACCGAGGAAGACCACGCGCTGGACCTCCTCCAGCAGGGAGGAGGAGAGGAGTCCCAGGAGGAGGAGGAGGAGGAGGAGGAGGAAGAGGAGGAAGAGGAAGGGGGCTTGCCTGGAGGGTCAGACACAGCGCCGGAGGCGTCTGTACCCACAGAGAGGAGCACACTTTCTCCAGCGTGGTCGGAAACCTCGTCGGATCCTGGCAGCATCTCTGAAGATGCAGAAGAGACCAAGCCCAGTGGTTTCCATGGCTCTGCAGAACCGGATGTGGTGCCTCCCGAGGAGCACAGGGGAGAAGACGTTGCTGAATCTGGACCCCTGGATGAACACGGAGAGGGAAGAGGAGAGGAGAGCTCCAGCCGAGAGGTCCCTCAGGATCTCCCCTCGGCAACCTCCGAGATCGGCGCTCAGAGGGAGACGGACCCCCTGGAGCAGGTTGCCCGGAATGCCAGTGTTCTCCTTGCCCGCCCTGGGGAAGGGGGCACCCCTCGCCCGCCTGAGGGTTCAGGGCTGCCTCCCCGAGCCTCGACGGCTGGGCCCACCACAGGGTGGAGAGACGAGCAGCCCACGGAAGGCACCCCGTGGCCCAGTCGCCCCAGTGAATCGAGGGACCCTGAGTTTTCAGGATCTGAGCCTCCCGAGACGACGACCACGCCAGCTGCCGGGACGGGAGCGCTTGTGGTCTCCCTTCCCGAGTCCCTGGGCACGTCCTCGGCGGCTGTTCTCTTGGAGGAGGGTGAGGACCATTCCGGGTCTGTGTGGTTGGCGCCCGTGGGTGCCAATGGAGATGGCACATCCAGTCCCGAGGAGGCCAGGGTGGACTCGGTGGGCCTCCACCCTTACGGTGCAGAGCCCAAGGAAGCCGCTCAGCCACACAGCGGGAGCACCCTGGCCGGCCCCGTCACCGAGGACTCAGATGAGCAAAGGGCGAGTGCCGTGACCCCCCCGGGGCCTGCAGGAAGCGAAGAGGAGCTCGGTGGGGGACGGGAAGCAGGGGCCACCTCTCCCGCTGGGGACCCCGCCAGAGACTTGCCCGGCTTGGACTTCATGAGTCCTCCGTTCACGGCACCCGCCTTGACCACCGCCCACCCGCTGCCGGTCTTGCCCACCGAGAGAGCCAGCCTGGGAGCAGGCGGGAACGTTTCAGGTAACCCCGTCCCCTGTGCCGTCTTGGCCCTCGTGGTGGCCGTTTGGGCAGGGCTGCCCCACTAAACCCTGCGGCTGACCCTAACCACCAGCGGTCGCTTTGTCCTTCCACGGCTGTCCTTGGACGACCCTGTGCCTCCTCCCTCCCTCCCTCTCTCTCTCTCTCTCTCTCTCTCTCTCTCTCTCTCCTCCTTTTCCTTCTTCCCTTCCCTCCTGGCCCAGGGCAGGGAAGGAGCCCGAGAAGCGCAGGTGTGGTCAAACAACCTGGTATCATTCCAGAGAGTGCATGCTGGTTTAATCTCTCCTACTTCTATGAAGTGTTTTAATGACTGTTTCCGTGAAAAACAAACAAACTGGGATGAAAATACCATTGCTCATAAGAAGGAGACCCGTTTAAAAACAAAACAGAAGACATTAAAACAGAGAAACTAAAAGCTTTCCAGAAGAGAACTCGCTTCGCTGTGGATGTCTCGTCACCCTCCTCTCACTCGGCGTCTTGTGTTTCCTTCCCTTCTCGGCTGTGTGTGTGTCTCTCTCTTTCTCTTCTAAACCCTCCACCCCACTTTACACTAACACACTAATATCCCTGATGTTCCCGAAGCGGGCTTGGTCCAGTGGTTAAGCGGCCCCTCGGCTGCCCCTCTTTCCTGCCCTTGCAAATGGGGAACGGGTGAGTTTGGGGTCGGCCAAGCCTCCTCTTCTCCAGAGGCCCCTCCTCTGTTCAAGGGGTCACCACAGAGTTGAAATAGAGGCCTCTTCAAGTCTGAGGGTGGCCGGAAAGAATTCCCAGGGAGCTGGGAATCATCCATCATCCACAGGTAGGATGATGAGACCCAGTCACAGGGTGGAGGGTGCTCACCTGATCCCCTTGGGAGAAGCTGCACTATAACACTGGATAAGGCTGAGCCAAAGGCAGCCGCCCCAATGTCGGACTACAGATTCCATCATGCTTGACCATTGGCTGTTCTGTTTGGGGCTGGTGGCAGCTGTAGTCCAAAAACAGCTGGAAAGTTGCATTTTATCTGTCCCTGGGTTTTTCAGGGTTTTTTTTTTAATTGTTCTAGTTTTTCACCCTCTACATATAAACCTGCAAACACCATTTTGTGCTAATTGGTGCCCAGTTTCGCTCTTTCGTTTTGGAGGGTGATCATCCAGTGGGTAGCAGAGACAAGGTGGTGTCGTGGGTAGAGTGACGGACTCTACTTCGGAGATCTGGATTCTAATCTTCGCTTGGCCATGGAAACACACTTTAGGGCTGGGGTGGCCCAGGTGAAACCACTCCTTGAACCTTTCAGAGGAACCCTCTTAAGGTAAGATAAGTTGGCACTGATGTGGCAGGACGTCAAACCGCGGGAAGTGGGAAGATGTGGGTGATTCTTTTGGGAAGGGTCTGTGTAGGAACAGTTTTTTCCAGCTCCTCCCTGCCCCACATGGCTCCGTCCCAGATTTCCAAGGCGAAGAAGGAGAGGACAGGAAGTCAGACACTGAAGAAGGTGGGTTTAAAGCAGGTGAGGTGCTTGGGAGCAAAGACTCCTCCTTCCCAAACCAGCCCTTTGTGAAGTCAAAGACCAACCAAGCGGATCTTTCTTGTGACATAAAATAAATCTCCACTGGACAGAGTCATGAGCTAATTGGAGGAAAGGATGGGGGGGGAGAGAGAGAGAGAGAGAGGAAGACTCCTCCTTCCCAAGCCAGCCCTTTGTGAAGTCAAAGACCAACCGGGTGGATCTTTCTTGTGACATGAAAATAAAGCTCCACTGGACAGAGTTGTGAGCTAATTGGAGGAAAGGGTGGGGGGGGAGAGAAAGAGAGAGAGAGAGAGAGGAAAAGAGCCATCTATTGTGCCATTGTGGAAAGGTGGAAGGCAGCAGGAAAAGAGGAAGACCAAACATGAGATGGGCTTACTCCCTCAAGGAAACCACAGGTTTCAGTTTGTAAGAGCTGAGCAGGGCAGTTGAAGAAAATGACATTTTAAAGGTTGGTTATCCATGGAGTTGCCAGAAGTCAGAGGCTTGACAACACATCACAACAGGGTCCTCTTCTGCATCCCTACAACCAGCACAAAAGAGACATCTTGATGTGAAAAGATTAGCACCCCCCCCGAGGCAAAATCACTTTACTGTATGTCTTTTTTGATATATAAGCAACAAAGAAGCATGTGGCATATGGAAGCCTAACAGATTTATTATGAGCCTCCATGGCTGGTGAAAAACATGTTAGCCTTCAGAGTCACACAGGACTCTTCGGTTTGGCTGCAACAGGCTGTCTGGCATGCTTATAATTAAACATGTAAAACAGTGTTGGGTAGATGGCAATAAAAAGGGGAAGACTCCCCTCAGTCCAGAGCTGGCGTGGGCTGTTAGGTATAGACATGATCGGTAGCCGAGTCAATAAGGGAGCGAACTCCTTAAGACCCAGCAGTGTGTGGCAGTCAAAGAAGGAGCTTCTCCTTGCCTCTTGATATTTGCAAATTACTTTGCTTTGCTGGCTGGTTGATCTTTAGGTTTCAACCCTTGGCTTCCTTCCAACTCCAAAGCCTGCCGGAATCGCTTCTCTCCAACACTAACCTGCTTCCAGCATTTAACCTTGGCTGATCCACAACCTCTGTTTCTGCTCACAGGGGTTGAACTTGGCCCACCCACGTCCTCATCCTTGGGGGCGCAAAGGGTGGTGTGAGACAGGTGGAAGGAAGGGGTAGGGGTGGGGCATGCCCACGGGAGATCCACAGGTGGGACAGAAGGTGGCGGCCAAAGGCAGAAGAGGCAGGAAATCTGCTCCCAAACTGAGCCTGAACTTTAAAGAGTCTGCCCAAGAAGGAAAACCTATTTGGCAGCTCCATTTCAGCACCTGGACAGCTCCCTTCTGTATGACAGAGAGAAAGTCTCCTCTGGCTGGGAGGGCGAACAAGACGGAGGAGGAGGAG